ATTTTTGCGTGAGTCTTCAATCACCGTCCATCTCCGAAGGCCCACTCAGCTCATGTTCCTGATTTCATGATGCACTTTTCATAGTCCGGAAGGCTTCGTGCGAAGGGTGCCTCTTTCAAGCATCAGGTGTAACAAAGGGTAGGAAAATCACACGTTGAAGTATGTGAAAGGAGAGGAAAATCTTTCCTTAAGTAATTTAAAGAGCCTTTTATTAAAATGCTTCGAAGAAACACGCCTTATGGCAATATCATTTACATGTTATTTCAGTTAAAGGTTACACGAAAATGGCCCGAAGACCTCCTTTCTTACCGATTTATTCTTACGAAGCAGATATATGAAAAGGGTACAACTTTTCATTGGAAGATACACGAAAGAGATACCTTTTGTCAAAAATAGTATATATAAGGGTAAGGGACTGGACCTCGGGGCAAAGCCTCGCCGAGCAAAGCTTTATTGAGTAGCCTCCCACCCCCTCCCCTTTTCCCTAGGGCTTTCCACAAGTTGCTCGGTAACTTTTGGCAACTTCTAGTATTTCGAGCACCTTTTTGTATAATTTCTGAGCAATTTCTCTCACTGGTTTTTTTCCAATTCTGAGATATCTGAGCAGCTCTTAGTGCTTAACTTGGTCTTGCTTCCATATTGCACAGTGTTTTAGTAGACAATTTATGAACTTCCTATGAAAAAGGAGCCAAATCCTCACCCCTTGGGGGGTGGGTGATGGGCACACGATGCAGCCGAGCTGCTAGGTCAGAGGTTTTTTTGAACAAAAAGGCAAAATGGGGGACTTCGATTCACACTAGACTGACACGAGTGTCTGAGGTGAAGAAGGTCATTCAACAATTTTAATGGCTCATACTAGAATTGATACATATGAATATTGATGTGTAGTCTTTACTCATACATTTTTGGTTTTAATTGTGGTTTACCGGCTCCTGATGGCAACGCTAATTACGCTGCGAAACTGCACAAAATTACGTTTTCATACTCTACCAGGAGCCATATATATCTAAATCGGCGTAGTACACCGTAACTGGATACCTTTTCCAGGGATGGGGTTGACTTCATCGAAATATCAGGGGCACCCAACGAGAAGATAGTTCAAAACCACTTAAACATAGCATTGTTAAACGTATTTTAGTATATTATAGGGATCAAAAATTACCTTTTCGAAAACTTCAGCCAGAACAAAGGCTCACAAAAAATTCTAGGTGACCTTTTAAGGGTAAAAATCCGTTAAAAATGGGCAATTATACGTACAGTGTACCATTTTTTAGATGTTCGAAAATCCTAGGAGAGGTAGGCAAGCAAGAAATTTTACAACAAATGTTCCGAAAATTCTAGATCACAAATCGTCTTCCGAACAGTTATTTTCCGAAAATTGTCGTTGGGTGCCCCTGAAATATATATCATAGCCATTAAATGTGCTATTTTTAGCACATTTTGTGCCATCTCGTGTGATTCGCGCGCGCATTTTTTTGCAACAGCGCCGTGGAAAAGATTAACAAACGAAATGGCGTTGGAAATTACCTCCTTAGGAGATGAATAAATTCCATTTCTGTCATTATTGCCTCCTCTGAATTTAAGGCAAGACCTTGAAAATTTCTCTAAATGTGAGGACTGCTTTTGTTAAACACCGTAGTGAGAGTGTTTTTGACAAATCCAGTGACGAAGAGATGTAGGAGATGTCAATTCTTTCACAGCTACACCAGTAAACAAAAAGGAACCCAGTGGCTGTAAACTTCCAGGTGTACGACTTCTATTAATGATCAATATGATGGAAAAGGTACCAACTCGAGTTAACACTCGGACCCCTTTTACAAATTTTTGAACGGCCAAAAACTTGAACGGATCCGCCTTTTCCTTACATGCGACCCGCGGAACCGTAAAGTTTTTGAGCTGCAAACAGTACTGCAATCTGTAAGACAATTTGCGCGTTCCCTCTAAACGTGGCGTTTATCTTGTGTGGACCGTGCAAAGAGCATTCTGAAAAAGAAGTGACGGCACAAAAAACCATGAGTGGAAGGGGTACGGAGTGACAGTCGTAAGAACTCCTTTGTACTTTTTAACAAAAGTTCCTTCCGGATCCTTCCCGTATACTAGATTCTGGTAAACGCTATGAATGGCTTATTTTGACAGCTCTTGTCAACATTCGAAGGTCTATTACCTCATGGAAATACGAAGTGACAGCGATGAGATCATCAGTAAGAAGGCTTACTTTCAAAAAAGTACTTCGTCCGCTGGCACTCTTGGCCGCTTTGCGGCCCAAAATGCCCGCTCCGCACACTGATTCAACTGCATGTACTATGTTTATTTTAATAAACGGTTGGTAATAAAAATTATTGCAAATTTTACAGCAAGCAATATCCACTGCCCTCAGTTAGCCCGCACGCTTCGAAACTCGCGAGGTTGATATATAGCAAGTCTAGCTAGCTAGCATAAGAGCGAAGTTAAGTGATTCATAAAGAGACAAAATAGATCTTTAATATTATCTACATTCACGGGACACCTCGAAATGAGGAGGGAATGAAGCAATGCCAGTTAATCACCAATTTACCTGCGATCAGGCGTTCTTCTTGTTTTTTCCTTTGAAAGAAAAACAAGCTAAATCCAACTAAAAGAAGTAATTGAAGAAGAAATAAGACTGGAGTAGGTCGCTGATAAGCTGGTTTGTTTGTTTTTTGTTTTTTATCTTATTGGTAATCAGAAGCCCATATGCTCCTGGTGAGAGTTCGTAAGACCACGTTCGATAAAGAAAAATTCTAACATGAATCCAAGGCTTTCTGGTTACATTTCTATATTAGGTTTGGTTTTCTATGTGCTCGTGGAAAATTTGCAATTTTTGTCCGTATGTTTAGATATCGAACGCAGCTACAATGGAGCTTCAATGGCCCAAAATGATTATTAGCGTTTTGGTTACATGGATGATAGTAGACTGCAATTTGGCTTTCAGAGTTGTTCTGTCGTTTTAGTTGTGCGGTATAGATCAATTCAAAAATGCCCGATTTTTTGCTCGTTTGCAGACACTGAGTTTAGGTAAGATAAAATAAGAAAATTTTAGTCTTGTCCGTGGCTGCTTAACAAATCTTATGGTTTCAGAAAGTAGTCCTGTGATGTATTGTATCGCACGCAAAAAGTAAACTTCGCTCGTTAAATTTTGAGGGTTCTGTGAGTGTCAGAAAATGGTGAAAATTTGCTTATAAAAATGGCGTCCGAGGGGGTCGAATAAAGTGATGCTCGTATCTCTAATACAAGAGCAGTGAAGAACCTATGTTTATTATATTTGTCCATTACTCCACCTAACCTATCTATGATGTTAGTATGAACTTATTCTGTTGACCCCCTTCCGTTGACATTTTTAACATTTTGCCCGGTTTTCTCTGACAACCACTCTTAATTAACTTTTTGTGGATTGGTTTGAAATGTAAAAACACAACTGACGGCCTGGAAGGAAGGCCTTTTATTTGTACAGAGAACAGAGGTACAAGGAAAATCCCTCAAGTAATAAAACAAAACATTGTCACTTGAAAAAACTGGCAACAATTACAACATGTACATATACAACATCAGTCAACTTTCCTTGCTGCTGGTGACAACCGAGTTTCAACTTTTCCAACGAAAAAAAAAAACAATACAAATGCAACAGGTGGTTTTATGTCAGCTCTATCTCGTGGGCCTGCAAATACAGCAGCGTATTTTTTAAAATATTTTTATCCACAAGCCACTCCAAAATGATCATGCAGTGTAGTTTTAGGTGTTGGCTTACGCTACTTCAATGTACCAGTCAAATCAAAGCTTAATCATCCTCCCTGGGCATTTGAACTTTTGGCCTGTTATTGAGTGTTTAAAATTCCCCCCTCCCAGGGATTAAAAGCCATCCAAATACCCCATTCTATGTCCGTTTCAGGTGATCAAATTCCCACACCTAAAATTTTAATTAAGTGACCATAATTTATTTGTTTTGCTCCTTTATGCATGGGAGATATTTAAGCATGGATTTGACCGATACATACCAGAAAAGTAGAGTTATCGTATGTAATTATTTTATGGGAATGATATGCAGTGCAGCAAAATATGCTGCAAAACGTTACTGTGACACAAATCCATACATCACTTATTGGTTAATTTCTCTAATAGAGCCATCATTGCCCTTGACTGTTCTTGTTGTTGTTGCATCATCATCATTTGAGTGTTAACCAGCTGTTGTTGGCTTTGTTGTTGTTGCTGTTGCATTACTTTAAATATTATACACTTAATGTCAGATCCCAAGGGAAACAGTTAGTTTTGTTTTCTCGAGAGTCCTGATGTTTCCCGAGACGAAGTCGAGGGAAACGTCAGGAGTCGAGGGAAAACAAAACTAACTGGTTTCCCGAGGGATCTGACATAAAGTGTTTTGTTATATTTCTAGAACTTTCACTTCAACAGCAACAAAAGAATAACCGGAACGAACGAAAACGAACCAAAACAGTTGACTCGGTACTTATAACAATACAAATTTAATTCTCAAAACCACTGAATGAATGATTTACAAACAAAAGTACTTTCCTTATATCATCTGCATCTTTTTCCTCCACTAGCTGCTGTTTTTCTTCTGGGAACTTCTGGGATAACTTTAAAAATCGTTGCTTTTTAGCTTGAGGCTTCGTGAATGTGTTGTTGTGTTCATTCACGAAAAAGAAAACCGGCAGGACCTGGCGGTGTTTTTCCCGCCTTCTGCCACGCCACTTTCCACCATGCTTTGATCATGTGCTGCAATGTATCCCGAGCGGGATACATTGTTTAATGTATCACGATCGGGATACATTTGATTTTAGTCAAGGCCACGTGACCAAGAATCAACCAATGGCAGTCCCTGTTTAGTTGAGTGAAATTCTAGGAATATAACAATTCTGTTTGTTACTGTTGTGTTTGTAGCTGCTGTTTGGCCATTGCCTCCATTTTTTCTCTTTCCAACGCTTGCTGTTCTTGCAACATTTTAAACTCTTGTTGTTTCAATTCATAATTCATCTTAATCTCGCAACTTCTGCCTTTGCTCGGTCGTTTTCACATTTTTCATTTTTCTCTACTCTTAATTCCGGTGATTCTGCCTCTGAACTTTCTTCTAAAGCGATGATAGTGTCCAAAAGATTTTCCAGTTCGCTTGGCTCGCCGGGCGCTATACCGGATGCCTTCTCCTTGGCTCTGACTTTTCTTTTATGCTTGTTGACGGGAATCCCCACGTGGTCGCGAACCGATTGCTTGTCAACGCTGAATCTCAGTACGGTACATTCGTTCTAAGTTTGAGCTATTTTCTCCCACATCCTGCCTCTTTGAGTGGATGCTTTTTTGGACGTAAAAGGGTCTAAATGTACCACTTCCAAGCACAAGAACGCGTCATGCTCGTTTGACCAAAACATAACAGGCTAAAAATAAAATAACAGGAGTATAAGCTTAATTAAGCTTCCATTCAATGCTTCGACTGAATGAAATCACGTTTAGTGTCCGCGAAATATTCCTATATCCTTTTCCAAATATAACAGATGTTGAAAATACAACGATTTGTTCAACCGACTCAAATAGCCATAAATAAAGCTCACATTTACCTGGGAGGTTTAGGCTCGGATGCCATGCTTCGATCCAGGACTTCAAGTCTTCAACTAGCTGTTCACCTGTGAATATATGATGAAAACTGCCTTAGCTGTCGCATCTTTGCATTACAAATTGATTGCAATCTCGGACCAAGATTTTAAGCAACTCTAATGAGAGCCTGAGAGGTTTAAGGGAGACAAAGTATTACTTTCATAAACAAAAAAGAAAAGGATTTTATACTCACGTTCTTTACACAACGCCAAAGTTTGCCAAATGACGTTCTCGACGCAACTTGGCGCCATTCACCGACGAAAAATGTCTACGCATGCTCTGGAAAAAATGACACGTGATCTATTTCGGGTAATGTCATTGGCTCCGAGGCAAAAATGCCCGGGAAATGTTGAGATGAAAAGAGCGATGGTAGCTTTTTTTTAGGCAGTGACAGCGTTGCAATTTCTTGCCACTGTAAGAGATCAAAAATCATTTTGGTCAAAGTTTGACGCAAGTGTGTTCTCTAGAGAATATAGCGTCTTGAAACTGGCGAAAAATTGCATTGGCATGGTCTGATTCAGTGTTATTGACGTTGAGATCGCTGGATTGCATCTGGAAGACATGCCGAAAAGGTGGGTAATTTTTGCTCTTTTTGTTTACTGCATGTTCCGTGCAACTTGGTACAAAAAGAAATTATAAAGTAGTGGAAGAAAAATTATTGAGCTTTGTTTTGGTATATAAATTACCTTATACCGAGTTGCACGGAAGCGACAGTTTTGTTAAATGTGTATCCCGTTTTTGTGTCAAAATTCGACTTTGATTGTGAATCTAACATTCGAAAACATTCGACTGTTGATCGAAGAGCGTATTACAATGCTATCCAAAATGTTTTTGTTGTTTATATCAAGTTTCTTATCACGGATTCAACAAAAAAAAGTAGAGGGACAGACATTTTTGGGCTTTGTTTTGTTAATATGACTTAGCGTGTACTTTGTTGCTGGAAAAACTACATTTAGATGTTTAATCTCCGCGTGTTTACAATGTTTATGGCCGTTACGCTTGGTTCAACTTAATCTCGTGTCACTCGGTACAAAAGGAAATTATAAAGAAGGTAAAGAAATATTCTTAGCGATTGTCTTGCTGTGTAAATTGTCGATGCGAATTTCATTGTTGTTGCACGTTATTTATACAGCTTTGTATGCTACCATATAGAAATTTGAGTTTTATGCAAACTTTCGAATGAGAAAATGTGAGAGTATTTTCATTAAAACACTTAGACCGTCTTGGAGCTACAGTTCGATGGTCCAGCAACATTCTGATTTGTGAAAAAATTCTGTTTACAATGTGCACAGCTGCTGTACATTTAGGCTTGCAATTTTATAATTGAAGGATCAAAGTTTAGAGTATTTTGCTCATAAATTTGGCTTGGGATTATCCACACAACGAGTTACTTCGTTAGGATCCGCACTTACGGACATGATTTCCTCCGTGTACAATTTTTTAAGCACTAAATTTTTGCACACAAGGCTTTCTGTGGGGGGTGCTTCTTTGCTTGAAAATATTGGATCCTGGAAGGAGATGAACAGGGTAATATTCCTGTGAATGCTTTTGTTTTTCTGTCCATCGTTTTCGGCTTAATTTTTTTGGGCGCAAAGTTATGAATGAATGATAGAGTTAACTTGCTATTAAGTATTCAAAACTTCTTTCCAAGATAATCCTCACAAATTAAACTTACAGGAGTTTAAAGTTTGGAGTAAACTTTGAGTCTTAATGCAATTTTAGTTTGATCATGTTGATGAATGCAGTTGTTTAGGATATGCAGTTTCCAATTTTGATCTTCTGTCAGAATTATGAGAGAACACTCAAATACAGATCTCATTCATTATAGATATATATTGTAACATTATAGTTTCATTGTAATTATCGTTTGTTTCTTTTCCTATGAACTTCTCATCAGGTCTCATTTAATGTGATATATATTTGAAGGGGTTGTTGTTTCACAGTGAAGTATTTTCACTTTGTTTTTTTGATATGAAGTTGAGTTTCTTCTTAGTTGTTGGCTAAGGCAGTGTTGAAGTTATTAGTGATATGTTACCATACTTTATTGTTCATTTCTCTTCAGAAAAGATTGATTGATCCTGAATCAAACAAAGTACAGCTTCACAAACAAGATTTTTGACGAACAAATTTGTACTCAGGCAAAGTATATGTCCCTAACAGTGTAAATAAAATTTATTAATGGAAAGATCTGGGTTTTTACTCCTTTGTAGCACTTTTGACTACGCATCACTTTTCTAACCTATATAGTAAAAAGATCATATAGTATAATCAGTATTTTTTCCAACTAACATATTTGCAATCAAATTTCTCTTCTTTTATATATAGTAATCCCCTAATTTTAAACATTTTATTAATTTATTGAGATCAAGCACAGTAACCATTGAAAAGAAAAAAGAAAAAAAAACCTGCTTGGTCATAGACGGCTTTAAAGTTTTGATATTAAAATTGCAATGAAAAGAACATGAATGCAGACACTACAGTTCATTTAGCTCACGTTCAAGCTTTTTTTGATAAATTAGAAAGTCTTACTGGAGAGAACATAATTTTGCTTTATCTTTTCGGTAAAAAAATAATAAAATAACTTCCAGGTGTCTAAGCAATTTCAAAGGACCCATAGTGTCTTTTTCTCCGCTGCATAAAGCTGTGAACAAAGGCCGTTCTCTCTACTGACCCTGCTTTCATTAAAAATATTGTTGTCTTTCCTGATCGTGAAGAGTCCAAAGTTGAATCCGGTAAACCGGCCAAAACGCGAGCATCGCAGGGAACGAATCCCATAGGAATAGGCGAAAAAGGATAATAAAAAGTCTAGGCTATTCTAAAAATATCCGTATATGCATTTGCAACTCATATTAAGCCGCAATTAATCTTCTTTCCACTGGAATAAACAAACGATGGAGGTATTGCCGCCATTTTGAATTTGGCAATGTCACGTGGTCGCACGTCGACCAATCAGACATTTTTCGCCGGTGAACTTGGCGCCACTAATACAACGCCCTGGGCAAGCGTACTATGTACCCACCCTGGATATTTTACTTCCGGTGGCGTCTTATAGCCGTCGCGTCCTGGATCTTAAAGTCCCTACAATCTACCGGCGGGACCAGTTTAGAAAATTCAAGGCACGACAATTTGAGAAATAGAAAAAAATGCTTTTGAAACAAAAACCTCACCTGTGGTCTATAAATCTGACTTCCAAATCATCGTTACCCGGGAAAAGCGGCACTATCTAAAAACAAAACAAAAACAAATTGCTAAACACCATTTACAGACAAACCATGACCATTTCTAAGAAGGAGACTCTAACGCTTTACTCATGTATAACTATCATCGACAAACTGACTGGGCAAAACATAGCCTGCAAGCAGGCTGTCCAATTGGGGGAGTCGCGAGAGGTCACGCGAAAGCAGCAGGCGAAACAAGACGCAAGTACGAAAAGGGCGCTTGCAACGACCTCAAATAAATTTCATTTCCATCCTTGAAACCGCAGGAAACCGCAAAGCGTTAAAACGGTCACCGGAAACAAGAAATGTGTCAGCCGTTTGTCAGTTACCCTCATTGGGCCAAGCCGAACGCGCCAGTTACACTAGCGTTGTCCGTTCCAGGAGCAAAAAATATTACAATTTCGCAAAAAAGCAAGACTACTAGAAGAAGACAATTGGTGTGGACCTTCTAGTCTGAATCATAGCCTATAAGCTGAGTCGGATCTACAATATTCCTTGAATTTAGTGGAGACGTGTCGCTTCAAAGCCACTGCATTCTTTTTAACCTACGGCATCATCAAAAATCGCATTCATTACTTTCCACTTTGTTCACGCACCCGCTTGGATACCACATCAACTGATTTCGTTTTGGGTAAACTTTTAAACACAACAAACGCGATGAGATTTAGTATGACAATGTTTTCCTGGCAACCCCTTCTCAGAATTCTGATTTGCCGGTTTATATATCCGCGAGATTGAGATCCAAACTGAACGGTAAAAAATACAGCCACATAGTCCTCAGAAATCGTTCACCGATCACAGAAGGAGAGAGTGATCATGTTTCTCGCCGGAGAAAGGAGTAATCATAACTTTCCCGATTTTCGTACGCATGGCGTTTTTAAATGTACAGCAAACATTTAAGGCGGGTCAGCCAGGAATGTCATAAATCAAAATTACTTGACGGCACGACATTTTTCAGCCAATGGTATTGAGCTTCCTCTAGGCGAACCAGAAATGAAAATTTTCAAGAGAATCGCCTTACGCGGCTTTGCCACTTGCTCGCACGTACCGTTCTCTCGAGGCTCGCTTCGCTCGCCATACATGGAGAGCTTGCTATCAGGGTAGACAAAACACCGATAACTTGACCAACAATAAAATGACCGACTTTACAGTGACAAAAGATTGATCGAAACACACCGCTCTCATTTAGAGTCTTCACAGACAATGTAACTACTGCTTAACTAGTTGACGACCAATAAAACTGGCGGTAAGGTGACCAGTCAGGTCACTTGCTTTAACTTGTACTCTGACGATTACAACCGCGCAGGTTCTTGGAACGTCAGTCCTCTCCAAGATAATACTCACACAAACGATCATATTTCCTCCACTTCTTGCATGTTCAGTAATATGTTTTTATTTTTTATCCATTTATTCATTTTTTGCAATAACTGAGCGATTTCTATCAATCTTATTGGCCGATAGCTACAGTCTAAGAGTTTATAAGATATTTTAATAAAAGTTATGACTGGACAAAAAGCTTTCAGTTTTTTCTGGCATACACTGTACTCATACAAACACTAAACCACTGTTGAGCGATGGAAAGGGATTTGAGAGGCACTTAAAACAAGGAAAACGGAAAGTAAAACACAAGCCACCAATATGTTGATCTTGAAAAGTCCCTCCGAAAACAAAACTTATTGTACTCACCCAGCCGAACGAAAAAAAAAAATGAAACCATTAGCGTTGATACTAATTAATACAACACTAACTGGGGGTTTTGCGGCTGAGGCAGTAATAATGCTCTCGGAAATATGGACTTAAAAGTGCAAAGGACAGGTGAGGTCAGTAAAAAAGGATGAGATACAGACAAAAAGCTCTGACGTCATCGGCGCTAATGTTTTTCCCTTACGGTGTTTCGATACAGTTTTCCACAGGCCATACCGATATTTTTCAATCGCCTTAGAAGTGGTTTTTTTCCTTGTCCGATCGCGATAAAATTTTCACCAGTAATTGGCTTTGGATTGAAATTTGTGAAAATGTAGTCTTAAATAAACCGATATTACTAAGACGGCAATGAACAAAAAACTTTGAAATTGATAAAAGCCGAATTTTGAGTGATCTAGACCAGCTACTGAAAATCCAACTAGGAACTTAAAGGTTGGTTTTCAACAAACAGTCTCCGTAAGAAGCAAAAAATTCTGTATGTTTGATTCTAAAATGAAAATATATTTCAAAAGTTAATTTTCAATAGCCATGATAGATTATTTAATAAAAACGTTATAAATGACTCAGATTATACTTAAGTAGAGTCAGAATGCTGCTTAATATCATATTTTGATGCTACGAAATGTAGGTGTATTTTCGCTCTTGCGATCTTGAAAACTAACCCGTTTTCTCACCACTTGTATAAGTGCAAGCCCATTCAAATTTTGGACTTTTAGGGACTGGCCAAAAAGTATAGAGGGGGGTGGGCCGGAGCATTTGGAAATGTGGTTGATAAAAAACACATGGCCCACCCCCTCCCTTCGGCACACAAATGATTGACCCACCCCTAAAGCAAGGTTCGAAATTACATGACCCACCCCCTAGTATTAAAACATCGATTTCTGGTTTCCCCTTAAGAATCCAATAAAGCCTTGTTCTGTGTATGACAGAATTTGTTGATACATTACTACAACCAATATCAAAATTACAGAAATCATACCTTTCACTGAAAATAAGGCAAATGTGAAAAACCGGACACTTAGTGTTTTTCTTGTTTTTCTTTTTTCATTTCTTGGACTTTATGAGTCTTGACACAAATATACCGCAAAACGAGGGTATTAAAATTGTCTATAAAGCATATGAAAATTTCTACAAAGACAACCTACTCCTACACATTACTTGCCAGAAATTCTAAGATTAATCCTCAAAGAAAATTTCTTCCGCTTCAATGGAAAGCACTACCTAGAAACCCATAGAACTGCGATGAGCACAAAGACAGCAGTTTCCTTAGCCAACATTTTCATGGCATACATTGAAACAACAACTCCAAGCAAAACCGTCTTTAAACCAACAGTTTGGAAATGCTACATACACGATATTTTTCCCTATGGGACATTGGTAAACCAGACATCGAAGCCTTCATTAAACAAGAAAAGTTACATCACCCAACTATTAAATTCAAGGCCGAAACATCTGACACTGAGATTGTGTTTTTAGGCACGGTTGTATACGAAGGCACAAGATTCAAGGAAAAATCGATGCTTGATGTACAGACACATTTTAAACAAACGGAAACCTTCCTGCACACACATTCCACCTCGTGTCAATCTCCAAGTGTTAAAAAAGGATTTTTCAAAGGAGACGCCTTGAGAATCCTACGAAAAAATTCATCAGAAACAATTCTTTGAGGAAAATAATTCAAATTTCAAAAAACGCTTGATCGACAGAGGACACCCACAAACTTTGGTAGAAAACCTACTATTAGAAATAAAGGAGGAAAAAGAAATATTGCCATTCGTGACACAATACCAACCCTCAGTTTCTACTATAAAGGAAGTTTGAGAGAAAAAGTGGGATCTTAGACAAGACCAACCATAACTTCGCTAAATTTTTAAAGAACTGCATATCATTTCCTTACGAACCTGTCAAAAATCTGCGTCACAACATTCACTGTTTTGACGGTATGCTATTTTTTTCCAAAATAATGCGCACTACACATACCTCCATGACTGGTACATTTTAGTTTGAATTTAACGCATCTTTTGAATGAAAAACATTGGCAATACTCTAACCAAGAATTTAAGGTTTGAAATATATTTTCGTTTTAGTCCAATTCAAAAATATAGATTTTTGTACTTCTTAGGGAGGTCATTTGCTAAACACCAAACGTTGGATTTTCATTAGCTGGTCTAGATGGCGCAAAATTGGGCGTTTGTCAATGTCAATGTTTTTGTTTATTGTTGTCATTGATAGTAATATCGATTTTACTAAAACCTACATTTTGACGAATTCAATCTGTAGTCAATCATTGGTGAAAATTTTATAGCCATCAGACAAGGATAAAATCACTTTTAAAGCGTTTGAAAATATCGATATGGCCTCTGAAAAGCTATATCGAAAAACCTTAAATTAACGAGATTTCCCATAAAAACGGGTTAATTCCACCCCCTCTAAACTACTGTTATTATTTTGTTGCTGCCATAGTTTAAAACGTTATCGAAGTAGCAGGCTGGAAAGAGTTTTACATTTGATGGAGTTGCAAAAGTGAGCCACTGTTTTTAATGGCTCGAGAACAGAAAGCATGAAAACAATTCTGATTCGAGAAAACGTAATATGCGCAAAAACGGCACAAAGATATCATTTCCTAGGTCGTCGATTGTAAAGAATACATTGACTTAGCAAATGCAGCGAACTTCTTTAATGCACTTAGCCATAATAATAAGAGTCTGTCAACACAACAATTACAACAACTCAACCATAAAACAGCTGCCCAAAGTAAGATGTTCAACTTAGAAATATTTATGCAAAATCGAAATGAAATGACCACTAATGTAATCAAACAAACCATTAACGTTGGCTTTGGAACGCCGAATCGGAAAACATGGAATATAAGCCAATTGCAAAAAAGAAGCCTGAAAAACAGTTTAAGGCTGCACTGACCACTACTCCATGTCATTTCATACTCATATCACACGTATGATTTACTTTTGTTTGTTAGTGGGAATTCCGAATACAGTCAACACTCTCACAGCGACCACTTCTCGTAAGCGACCACTAGCTGAATTTCTTAACGACTGCGACCACTTTTTAAACCACAAATTAGACATATTTCTTTGTGGCTCTGCTCCTAGTAAGAGACCACCCGGCATGATCACGAATGATTATAAGAAAACCATTGCACGAACGTCATGATCAAAAAGTTCAGGCAGGTTTTCAACAGCACCGACCAAGTGTGCTGACAGATTATAGCAGTTAACCTCCAAAAAGATGACTGTAGAGCGATCTATACGGGAAAAGGTGCATTCTAACGTCGATGCAAAGTTTTAACCTTGTTGGGAGATAAATTAATCAGTTTAGTTTAAGCTTATTTTCTTGATTTTTCTCGAAGACGACCGCCTCTCGTAAGCGACCGCTTTGTCGTCCATAGTCCAGGAGCAAATGTTGTAATTTTAAGTCCCGTGGGAATTTTAGGCTGCAAGCAATCTACTCACCTGAATGTGTTAAGGGAAAGCTACAGAACATAAAAAAAATTTGGTGGCACTCCGAAAACTAGTCCTAAGCCGTTTTATGGGGATTTAAAAATACAACATGAAAACGAGGCTCTGAAACAAAAATGGTAATAACGTTTCACTAGCAGAGTGAATTTGCTCCAAAAGAGATTGTGTTCCTCAATGACTTGATTAGTCAACTTGGTTCGCCCGCAAGTTGTCAGAAGAAGAGTTAAACAAAGAGTCTAAAACACATTTATATCTTCCGCATCACCCTGTAACGAGTCCTACCAAACCAGGAAAGGTGCGCACTGTCTTCGATGCAGCAGCTGAATGCGAAGGAACTTCGCTAAATAAGAACTTGCTGACTGGACCAGATGTACCCAGCAACTTGGTTTGTGTTCTCCTATGTTTCCGTCAGAGAAAAATAGCGTTCGCTGCTGACATCGAAAAGATGTTTCATCAGATACGTATGCGTGAGGAAGACCAGGATTCCTTGAGTTTCCTGTGGTGGACAAACAGATATGATAATCCCCCTGATACATACGACATGTAAGTGCATATTTTCGGAGCGACTTCCTCCCCCTGTATTGCAAACTCAACTTTGCGCCGTGTGGCCGACAACAATGCCGAAGAGTACAGCTCTAGTGTTATTACAGCTGTGAAAAAGAACTTCTATGTTGACGATGCTCTTCCCTCTGAGAATGATGAACAGTCCACAATTAGCCTAGCCCATGACATGGTAGAACTGCTCGCTCAAGACCGATTTAACTTGACTAAGTTTATGTCGAACTCCAAGAGACTACTAAGTGCTTAAGCGATCTAAGCCAGATCTAAACCTTGACATGGACGAGCTACCTATAGAGCATGCACTCGGAATACGTTGGTCTGTGGAAGATGATACGTTGGGGTTCGAAATGAGAAGCCTAGTTCGCCCTAAAACAAAGTGCGGTATACTCTCCACTGTTTTTTCATTGTTTGATTCTGTGAGTTTCGCAGCACCAGTGGCTTTGTCTGCACGATGCCTAGTTCAAGACCTGTGGAAGGCTAACATAGGCTGGGATGAGCCCCTGAGCGAAGAATTTCTAAGTGGAGAGCCTGGAACACTGAGTTACCCTTGTTGTCCGAGTTATTCATCCCTCGGTCCTATTTCCTGTCGGACGGTGATCCGCAACAACGCTTCATGTGTTTTCAGATGCCTCAGAGATTAGTTATGGAGCATCATCATCATATCTGCGAAGCGAGTACTCCGATGGACGAGTTCATTGCGCTTTCATCACTGGTAAGGCTAGGAATGCGCCTGTCAAGTTTGTTAGTATTCCAAGACTGGAATTGCAAGCAGCTGTACTCGCAACCCGGATGTTTAAGATGAACATTTCCAGGACATATCTTTGGACTGATAATGAAATAGTGCTGCACTATCTGAGAAACGAAAAACGAAGACCTCAGACCTTTCTCCCACCTCAGGTACAGAATGGCCTGGCTCCTGAGTTTTGTACAATTTGTCAAGGGCAAACAGAACGCCAAAACTGGACGTCTCAAAGTTGACGATTTTGACGCGGCAACTGTAGCAGTTGTGAGGATTGTCCAAAGATTGGCATATGCACAGGAAATTAAAGATTTGAAGTCGAACGGTGCGGTCAAGCCGTCGAGCAAGGTTACTTCACTGAATCCCAAACTTGACAAAGGCGGAATCCTGAGAGTTAATGGCCGTGGTCAGCTGAAGCCGACCTCCTGAATACTAGGCCAACGAGTGATTTTTCCCAGAGACCATCGGTCACCAAGCTGATTGTTCGTCACGTTCACCACCTTATTGGTCACTTGGGACGCGAACATGTTATTGCAAAGTTGCGGGAAGATTTGTGGATCCCTCAAGTGCGTGTATTGGTTAGATCGGTCCTTAATCGATGCATTACCTGCAAGAAACTTAACGCCAAACCTATGACCCAGCAGATGGCGCCCTTACCCAAGTGTCGACTTACAGCCTATGAGCCACCGTTTTCGTTCACTGGTATGGACCTCTTTGGCCCTATTTACGTGAAACATGGCCGAGAAACCGCGAAACGGTGGTGTTGCTTGTTTACCTGTTTAACCATCGGTAGCGTGCATCTTGAAGTGGTTAATTCTGTGGATACTGATGAGTTCATTATGTGTTTGAGGCGTTTTACAAATCTAAGGGGAGATGTGAAAGAGTTACGATGTGACAACGGTTCTAACTTCGTTGGGTCTGAACGAGAATTGAAGAAGACAGATGTGGTTCTACGAACACTCTTTACTGAGCTTGAGCGTATCCTTAAAGGAAGAGCCCTCACAGCGAACTCGGACGATCCAAACGATCGCGAACCGAGACCATCTGTTTGCCTCCTGGAGTCTTTGAGAAGACTGACATTTACAGAAAGAAGTAGAGGCAGGTTCAATTTTTGGCCAATTTGTTTTCGGAAAGGTGGTTGAAGGAGTACATCCCAACCCTTCAACAACGAGGTAAACGGCGAAGAGTGCTGCCTAATATCAAACCCGACGCCTTGGTTCTGCTTGTTAACGACAACACCCCTAGAGGGCATGGGAATCTCGGCAGAGTGTTGAAGACGTACCCGGGTCCAGATGGTCTAGTAAGGACTGTGAAGGTCAAGACCAAGGACGCTGTCTATGTTCGTCCTATACAGAAGTTGTGCTTGCTTGAGAATGATGCGAAAGAAGTAGACACGAAGTAGATGCTGAGTTTAACTGTTGGGATGTTCTACGCGATCGCCCCAAGGCGGCCAGGATGTCCGGGACAAATCTAATTTAAAAATCGGACATGAAAATTATCCGAAAACTGTTACGTTTTTTTTATAGGTACCTGAGCGCTGGTCACGTGACCTCTTTTTCCATGTGACTAGCGTGTTGGTAGGTGAGAGTTGTTGCGTTGTTTTATGGCAGAGAGAGCACAGAACTTGTGAGTATTTGGTTCGTTTTCAGTTCTATTTGGCACTCTACCTACATGTTTTGTATTTTTATTTTAGTTTTCACCGTTCGAGTTGAAAAAATCTGTGCTTATCCCCAAAGAAGATATGCACAGCTCTGTGATGATGTGCAGTTTGTTACTGGTACCGGTCAGTGGCACCGAGTTATCATTTTGAAACCTATTGTGCAGGCCCTAGGCAGCACAAAAGTTGCAGCATTAACTGGCCTTCATGCTTTGAATGGCGCCGACATCACAGGTAGCTTTGCTGGTAAAGGAAAGGCCACTTGGTGGAAGGTATTCAAGGAAGCAGATGGAGAGACCATCACTGCCCTAGCAAACCTTGGTAAGAGAGCCCAGCCAACAGCGGATATCTTACCTAACATCGAGAAACTTGTTTGTCAAGTGTACGTGCCCAACACTACCATTAACAGTGTTAAAGAGCTAACATGGTGGCTGTTCCGGAAGAAGCAGGCTCAGTCTGAGACCTTACCACCGACGCAAGAAGCTCTTCGGCAGGCTATCAAAAGAGCCAACTATCAAGCATTTGTATGGAATTTGGTCACCGTGGCTGAACCACAGCTTCCATCACCAGACACCTTAGGCTGGACGTTGGAAGATGACAAATGGGTACACATTATGACATCTCTGCCTCTTGCACCAGAACCTATCATCCAGCTCGTAAAGTGTGGCTATGTAAAGAGCCGATGTTCATCAAGTAGGTGCAAGTGCCGGAAAGCCGGACTCAAGTGCACTGACCCGTGCAGATGTGCTGATTATGACGATCTGTGCGATAACCAGCTAATTGATGATGTTAGTTCTGAAGACGAAGATATGGAATAGGAAGAGTGATGACAGTGACAGTCAGACAGATCGTTGATGACATTATGCAGATGTACGAAATCTTACCAGTTAAAGTACTTTAGACTATTAACAGTGCAAGTATATGACCAGGCGAGCCAGTTTAAGTCTTTCTGTCTTTTTCTTGCTTTCAAATATCACCATGTTAAACGACCGAAATGGTCTGGAATAATCTAGAACATGTCACTCACATGGGTTGGGTTATTTTCCACGGGAAAACTGCTATCTTGGTTGTATAGTCCGTGCCTCGTTTTCATGCTATTTTATTCACGTTCTCATGCATAGAAAAAAGAACTACAGAACATCATTAAAATAATTGAGGAACATTATCTCATCAGTATTGGAGCAATTTCATTTAAATACTGCAGTGGACAGTTACAGTCATTTCTTGGAACCTGGTTTCCATGCTAGCTTTATCACGTGACCATGCTGAGAATCCAGTAGAGGTTTATATCGTTCAAGCAATTGAGGCACATAATCTTTGCAATTTTGGAGCAATTTTATCCAAACAGTGGAAAGTTATAGCCACTTCTGTTTCAGAGCCTCGTTTATGTTAGTGAATTACATCACGTTTTTAAAGGGACTGGTTCACGATAATGCGCATGTGTGAGTTCTGACAGTAGCTGATTGTTTTTAAACCAATCGGAAGCGAGTTAGATGCACGCAAGTAAATTTACAAATTCATTGTTCGCGACGCGAGAGTATTTCCGGGCATTTGGTTTGATTTTATATATCCCCATAATTCAAGTTTATTCTTTGCTACTCCCTTTGGAGTACATTTGCTCCCTGACTACCACCAAGGGTGGTCGCTTATAAGAGACTTGACTGTACACATACTAGTATCACTTCAAAACATAGTGAACTAAATAAATAAATCAATAAATAAGTGACAAAAAGTATTATCAGTTACCGCTTCTCTTAGTTTCTGCCAGAAGGACTGATAATCTTCATTGCGCTCTTTATTTGAGACAGTGAGAGTTACGTTTATCACCTTGGCTCCGATCACTTGAGGGAATTAATAAAAAAAAGTGTTAATAAATACTTAATAAAATAGAACCACGAGATCAATACAAATTAATCTTCAGTTTAAAAACGCAATTTATGAGAATTTGAGGACCCATAAAGTCGTCAGGACAAACACGTTGACTGTTTTTCAGTAAAGGTAAATAAGGAATGAAAAAGGCCCTCTTAAGGTAAAATTCCGACAAGCGACACAAGACAGCAGAAATGGCGACAAACGACAAAAAGATGGGTAGAAACTGCGACAGCGACAACGAAAGTAATATACCGACAGTGACATGGCCTCCTCCTCAGTGCGCAAAACAACAGGTTTTGAAATTCAGGCCTAAAAAGGCCTCGTGAAAAAGCCACTCAATGTTTAGATAGACAACCCTCAGTGACAGAAGAGCAATTTAATTACCGTCCGACTATCGATCCCTAAGGAAAATGAAAGAATACTCGTTGTCTCGGGCAATAATAGAAGACTGCAGGTTCCATCGATTGTGTGACTGATAGAGAAGGAAATGCAGTATCAGGCTACCTTATGACAGTTAATTGTTGTGACGTTATTAAAAGTGACACTTTATCTGAGGTTTCTTGAGCTGTATTAACTTAACGAACTTTGTACTGAAGCACCTTTAAAGTTACACCACACAAGAGAAAACGGTGGGCGAGAAATCACATGGGCAAACAGATGAAAGGTTTTGTATTTTTGTTGCAGCAGCCCCCTTTCCTGGGTCCAAAGTGATATTGACAGTCATATGATTAAAGCGGTTGAGGAGACAATGTTAATTGGCTCGAGTGTAAAGGGATGGTGCGTGTTCTGGGGGGTAGGAGTCGGGGACACACGGCAGACTGTTAAACGTGAAAATAAGGCAAAAGCCAAGCAATGCTCCTAGGTGGTGTCCACCAACAAAAAGTGTCTGGGATACATTAATTACAATTAACAACTTGACAGCGGGTTTTAATCTGTCTGTCCTCTCCTTGATGATAAGATTTCATCATAACAAAAATAATGTCAATCTTGTCGATTCATATTACTTTGACAAAGTTATGGAGTAATTTTCTCATCAATGAGAGGGAAAAAATGGTGTCAATCTTAAAACTGGCAAAAAAGTTTTGTGCCCAGAAATCTGACACACATGAAATAAAAAGACTTACCAAGGCTAGTATTTGCACTATCACTGCCCAGACTGTTCTTTGCTGTACATGTGTATACCCCATCATTTTGGACTTCTGAAATATTCAGCATGCTCTGATCACACACATTTTCTTGAGAATTACATGGAGTCCAAGTTATTGCAGGTATTGGGTATCCATCAACCTTGCAGTCAAGCGACACATTTTTTTCTCTCCCGACATAGTACTTCTTTTGAAGTGTGACATTTGCAGGAACTGAGATGAAAACCAGTATATTAAGGGTCAGAGACATTTTTGTCAACCAAAAGATTAGCAGCCCATTATTACAGGAGCATGAAAGGACTGAAATGTACATGTATAGTTTTTATCAGGTGGACTTGTATAAAGGCTTTAATTTTTACCAATATAGTAAATGAATAGATAAAAAACAATGAAAAAATAAATTAGTTAATACATAGAGATCGGAGACTGATTTTATACATTGTACGTAATTAATAATAAATAATAATGATTAATAAACAGCTGTTTTTCATTCCCTAAAAAGTTAGAATTCAATTATAACTGATCAAACGACATAATTACTATTAAAGCTTAAAATCTACCATGCCTTTTTTTTACATTACCATGTTTAAGAGGGGTCAATTTTAATTGTTGTAAATTCTTGGTCCTCCAACTTTCCATCATATACTACTGCTTAACATTATGTTCCAGTTGACTTAAGGTAAGAAAAACTCAGATTGGCTCTTTTAAAGTGAGCAAAATTAAGTCACCGAGAAATAAATTCTCACTCAGCTCTTCTCAGCTCACAAACTTAAACATTCTTGTAAAGGTTTGAACCCAGGAGTCATCTCATAAGTAGGTTTTGTGTGCAACACGTATAATAATGTTGTAGTACATGTGCGACAGTTTCAGAGGAGTGAAATGCATTACTTATGTTAGAAAGCTAGTTTTCTAACTTAGAACAAACGCCAATGACAGTTACTGGGACCGAACAAACGACTTACATGTAACTGACAGACAGCCAATAACATCGCGACCAACAGCAAGTGGTAACGTTGCGAGTATGCGCGAGCCCCTGGACGGAAGTTTGTGGTGGTATTGGATCGCAGCGAATGCAGCAAAGAAAAATGGCGCCTCTTTCAAAAATTACCATCGTCTTAGTCATCTGTTCTATCTTTGTGGAGTGCAGATAAGACAAAGTCTTCTTTGTAATATGCGATATTGGTCTCAAGGCTAATAAGTCGCAGATCATACACAATTTTGCGCGGTTTGTGGTCCATGAGTGATTATTGTTTCGTGTTTTGGCTTCCGCGTGGACACGTCAAGCTTCGATGGGGTTCTGTGTAACAGCTGCAAAACTCCTCTATTAAAACACTGGATAACTGGGAAACAATCTCTTCATGTAAGTTGTTACTGAGTACAAAACGTCCGACGCTTAGGATTTGAATAAAAAGCTGTGAAAAGAATTCTAAACGCTAGTCTGTTTATATAGTCATAATTGCAGTTCTTGCGATAATCTCCTTACAATAATACGATTTCACGTCAGTTATGGTTCAGGAACGCCCTGTTTTTCAGAGATGTGCAACCATAGTGCAGTGATTCTGCCAGTGATTACTTTTCAGAGATACCCCATCCTAACCACCAGTGTCCAGACCAGATGCAGTGCCCTAATTTTGCGACTGATAAAATTTCAAAGATATCCCACCCAGGGCTATGAAATTGTACGTTTCCATTTTTGACTGGATGATATAAAACAAAAGATCCAAACTCTAGAAATGACATCTATTACATGTATGTGATGCCTTAACGTATTCAGGAGTGTAGGCAGAATTTTGTAATATAGAGGCTGTCGACTCCAAGATGCCCCTTATACTTCTAAAATAAAGAATTAGATGTGCCAAAACAGGAGTGTGGTACAAGATGTTTCATATTACAGATGTGTTTTATTGAGGTAACCCTAACCATGAAAAATCCTTCCCTTTACTCCCCTTTACTCTACTTTACGATTTGAACACTGGTGGATCTAGGGGAGGGGCCTGGGGGGCCCGCCTCCTCCCTTATTTTTAGACCAAACCGAGGCCCGAGGCCTGAAGAACCGAATACATTTTTTTGGAAACCGCCCCCTCCCCCCCGTCCCTTATCTCAAGGTCTGGATCCGGCACTGTTGAAGCGTAACTTGTGTTGGGTGAATGAACCACAGACACCGTTCAACCCTGAAACTGGAACTTTGACGCATGCCTGATTTCGTTGGTAAGCTATATTATGAATCTGGATCAGAAGGCTGTAAGGTGCACAACCTAAAAACATCCTTTTGTACGATTTTAGCTCTCTATATTACCATGAATGGAAAAAGGCTTGACTATAAAGCTTTAGAGAAGGTTTTTCCAGCAAGATTACTAGTCCTGAATTATCGGTAATGGTAGACATACATGTACACTACTGATTTATTCTTGGTACAAAATTAATCATTATATGTATACAAAGGCAACCATAACATGTACACGTACAAAATGTAATGCCTTGTAAAGTATAGAGCGGTATTAATGTCAAAATTAAGATATCATTTTATTACGCTGTCCTCCTATTTTATGTTGTAGTTTATGTATTTACTGATGCAGCATTTACATTGTTTGTTGCTCATTTCTTATTTAAAGACGTAAACATTTCATAAAGTTGTAGTGCATGTATGCCATTTCATGAATCATTTCATGAAGATCTCACTTTATGATGGTCTTATTTTATGAAGGCCTCCTTTTAGGATGGTCCTATTTAATGAAGATCTCGTTTAAGGGTGGTCCTTTTATGAAGGTCTCATTTTACGATGGTCTAATTTTTTAAATTAAATTAAATTTATCATTATTATTTATTTTTTTATGGAGATCTTATTCTATGGTGGTCTCATTTTACTATTGCGATACCCAGCAGCCCTTTCGGTAACCGTGGTTTTTCTCAGGGTCCTTGGAACAACATTTCAATCAGTATTGCCCAAGTGAGGACTGAACCCTTTCAGAGATTTTACACTTTAAAAATTGTACTATGATATAGCCCTTATGTAATCAAGCCCGTCATGCCCAATCGACAAAATTCAATAATCAATAAAATTGATTGTAATCGATAGCAATTACAGGTAATCAATTGATGTGAAAATCGAACATCAAAAGAGTTGTGCATAGATTTTCATCAATATTCACGATTGTAATTGTTTTTAATAATGATTTCTGTTACATTTGAGATACGTACTAGTAATTGGAAGTCTTACCTATTATAACTTTTATCTCTTTCTAAAATGAGATCTCTCTTTCAATTGCTTCGTTTCCTGTAATTGTGTCAAACATTCGAAAAGCTTGATTGAAAGTTTGTTGACAACTCTCTTTGAAAAGTCTGATCAATTGAAACCCGTGATACATGGATAATACCCTCTACATAGCCTTTGATAAACTAGTGAACAGATGAGGATTCGTTAAAAAACGTTTCTTGAAAGTACCGATCGCGTCTCTAACAATCCCAATGTTACGCGGGTAATCCTTTAGAGGACGGGTAGCTTGCAAACTAAACTGAACGCAGGGTTGTCGGAACAGCAACAAGAGATTTATTCCAAAAATGAACGTAGTTTCCACGAAGTAAAACTCCACGACAGCACGTAACTCGATAAACGTACACGGCCTCCGCCAACTTCAATTAACTTGATAAACTTCCACGGCCTCCGCCAACATGAATAAACCCTGCTTCCGTCACACTTGACTAAACACGACTAACGTCAAACTCTCTTCGCTTGTCAGAACTAGTTAAAACTTCGCTCGGACTCGCCTACTTATATACTTTTACAATAAGATTCTAGAACTTTCCAAACAGTCTAATTATAGAACGATTACAAAATATACCGCTTTAGAAAACGCTTACACGAGATCCTAAAATAAACAAACTATGAACTCTCGCGAAGCTTCTAGAAAGTCACGCTAGTCACGCAATACAATTTTTCGTAACAACCAAGATTCACTAGTCCGTATTGTAAATGGGCACTCGTGGTAGCCGTTTATAAACTACAGCCATAAAAATGTTCATTTTGCCAGTCATTTGACGACAGTACTTGCAAGACTTCGGCAATAGTAGAGCTTGCTCGCAGGCTACTACCCTCATACCTCATGGCCCATGAAAACTGCAAAATGAAATTTCGTGGGGTAATTTGAAGCCATGAATTTTCCATGAATAAAGGGGCATTAGTTTTCATGACCCACGAATTTCTTTTTAATTGAACAGCAGTGCATGGGCCATGAAAATATTTACTTTTGGTTGTCTACTTGCATGGACCATAAAAATTCCATGAAACTCACAAAAACGTATTTCATGGTCCATGAATTACATTTTTAAAAAATTGAAAATTGAACATGTACAGTGTTTTTAATGATATCGATGAGTTCATGATCATGATTGATTTCTTAATTAGGTCAAGCACACTGTATACATATGGTTTTCACAGAATATTCATGACCCATGAAAAAGACTTAGTTAAAAAAAAGGACCAAATAGCTGTCAAATGTAAATATAAATAAACTTCTCAACGTAGGAGGTGTTTTATGAATTAATATGCAAGGGGATAAGTGACTTATCCCCCTTGCATATTAATACATAATCCGCTCGCATTTTAATTAGCTTTTTATAAAGAACAAATTTACTAATGTTAATTGGAAATATTAAACACGACGCTACAATTACTAAAATGAAACTGAGTTGCGTTTGTTAAGTGCCACCTTCACGGATTTTCTTAGTTGGTGTTTCATCGATTTCCACAGCCAGAACGACAGTTCGAAATTGAACAGCGTCTTTAAAATTCTACGGTTCTACGAAAGTGTCGCTGTAATGGTAAGGTGTTCCGTTCTTTAACCAGTCATTCCAAACTCGTGTACTCCATGAAGATATTTAGTTGACCTCTTTGTATTTTTTGCTATTCTTGCTTCATTCCTCGACTGAATTTCCTTGTCAGTTACAGTAGTGAAGCCTCGCCTCGAATCTTCTTTATCTGTAAACATGCAGGTCGGTCGAAACATCCTCGGTACAAAAATTGAAATTGTAAACTGCTTGCTCGGTCTCTGCACCCGCAAATGAAGATTCAAAATTGTTTTCCGAAAGTTCAATGGCAGTACCGCCACTAAAGCTGCTTTAGTTTGAGTAATAAACGGCTCTACTTCTCACTCTGAATCACTCGACACTGCTGGGCTCTTTAGGCTGTTTGTAGCATTCACTACGAACAACGTCGACAAATTCGAAATGCGACTTTGAAAAACTAACAATTAAAAAGCCGAGAAACTCGTCAATGGCCACCAGTGCCAGCATGGAGTGTTAAAAAACAAAAGAAAGATGAACAATAGAAGCATGATTCTTCAATGTATTTATGTATCCCTTGAGGAATCCTCGCCAGGGTAAAAATAAGCCGTTTATCGGCCATCAGCTCGTGGTTATGTGACTTATTCCCCTCGCTTCAGGCCGATAACCCTTACATAATCCCCCCGCATTTTAATTAGCTGTTCATTAGCCCCTTCAAACAACCAGCTTTTCAGACAGTTGATTCGGGGGTTATGTAATATATTACCCCCGGAAAGAACAAAGGAGTCCGAGCTTATGTAAAAATGCCCTAAGCCTAAAAATTAACGAGAGACCCTACACGTACAAACTAGAAATAATATAATGGCCCATTTTTTTTTACTAATAATTGCTTTTCTAGTGCTTTGAAACTGTGTTTTCAGCTGGAGATGCCTGGAAACAAATTGCATTACATTGTACAACTGAAAAAGCTTAGGCTAAACTACATGTATTATTATCAAAAAATTTGTAAGCATTTTCAAAAAATAAAGTTGGCGTTAAAAAGCATCGTTTGTAATCTCTTTAAAATTTAAGGAACCACGGTCCTTTAGATTTTCAGAAATAATATAGTGCATAGGTTAAACTGCCTACCAATAACATAAGGAAAGTTTGAATAAAAAAATCCACACATTTCTCACTTGTGACTGTGTAGACACAGTCGTCAGGTGGCTAGTCCATTAAAGCTCTTTTTCAGTCCGTGAAATTAGTTGACCGCTGGCTTTAGTGACATCCCCGAGGGTTACGTATGTATGATAATGAGTTTGAACCAAAGGAAAATAAGATTTAAATCAAAGATAAATTTGAACCACAGGTTATGTGTTTTTGGTTTTGTTTTTCTTAAACTACAATCATCGTCAAAAGGGTTAGCCTAAGATTGAAGTTTTATTGTTCGATTGATAAAATGTGCTGTTCATTATTCTAAAATTAGTACAAACTTATTGGTGTGAAAAATAGCTGCACCTTTGAATTAATTACGCGTTAAAGCTGTAGTTCCAAGCAAAATTAACAACGGAGATTTCCAGCAACAACACATTATTGTTCATTGTAAAGGTTTTATCAAATAGCCATGACCACTTTCAATGTATAAGGTGTCTTTATCGTTGAATTACTCAAACAATCTATCACGAAGGCAATTTTGGGACAGCCTGTTTGCGTTAAGTAAAGATGTTTGTTTATCTGCTGAATACAGGTTTTACTGTCACTGTTTAACATACACATGGCAGTATATTTACTTTGTCATATTAAATAATAATGCAGTGAACTGATTACAGCTCTTGTACATTGTACAAGACTTCTTAATATATATTTTCTCTCAATAACAATTTGCTTGCCAAAAGGATCTAACGAGATTGTTTTTTCACTATGAGAACATAAACACTTACAATCATCTCCAAGCATGCCCAAGTAATAAAAAGAAATAAAATAGTACACTTACATTGTACAACAACCAAACAAGACTTTGAGTTGTTTTTTCCAATGCCATTCCATGCGAGACACACATAAGCACCTGCTTCATTCCTGCTAATATCTGTTATCTGATAAATCTTACTGTATGATAAAACCTCGCCCGTTTTTTCTCTAATCCACGCTGTTTCAGGTGTAGGACTGCCTGTAGCATTGCATGACATTCCCTTACCAAAATTAGAGCACTGATAGTATACTTTTTGTAGACAAATAGTATACACCGTATGTATTACATTGCCATGGTGTACATTTTTAGTATACATCAAATATACATCAAGCAAGATTTGGCTTAGCAAAAAAAAATGATGTATACTCTTTGTATACATCACTTGCATTTAAGTAGCAATGATGTATACAACAAGTATACCTCAGGACTTTAAAGCAGCAATGACGTATACAACAAGTATACCTCAAGGCCTTCAAACAGCACTGATGTGTACAATAAGTATACATCAGTGCTGTATTGATGCCAAGTTGTATAAAAAACATCTTCATTGATTAGGAAGTAAAGCTTTGATGTATACTTTTTGTATACTTTGTATAGCATAAACAGTTTATATATAACAACATATAAATATATAGTATATGTTGTAGTTCAACTTTTCCCTGGTTTAAATTTCACATACATTACCATGCCCAAACAAAAGAAAAATTAAATTAAAGCAGGAACAAAAGTAGAAAAACAACACATATGTTGATTGAATTGAAGGGTTACCAAAAATAATTTCAGTGAAACAAACTCTAGAATACTGTTTTACATGTACCTGATTAGAGAATCTCTGAGAAATTCCAAATGCTGATGAAAGGAATACGTTTGAACAACAAGAACTGGACAAACAAGACATATCTCTAATAGATCTGTAAAACTGCAGTAATTTAAAAATTATATATTTCGCTCTTTTGCAACTCATCACTCACTGGCCAATGCTTATAAAATAATATTGTCCATTGTTCATGTAAGAATTAGCATTGTGAGAAATTCAGCAACAACATCAACATTTTGGGACTGATATGTCATACACAATCTTCGTTAAGGGGTCAATGTCATGCAATTTCGAAAGATACACAACATTATTTTGCTATAATAAAAACATTAAAAGAAGCTAGTTTTAATAAAAAAATTATGTTTACGTGCCCTGACAGGAAAAGATGGCAGCTTTTAATAAATGGCACACATTTTCTTTTCTCTCTCAAAAATTCACTTGAAACCTACCCATTCGTGTTGCAGGATCATAATTTTGCATGTTACATGTATCTGTGACGGTGCTCTGATGGTGCTACCATGCACTTACAGTTGCAAAAACCACTCAAACGCTTTAGTCTTTTTCGTACTGATTAGGAAACATTCCCACAAAGGGAGTATTGTCATTACCACAGTCAACAAAAAGCATAATCGAATAATGTTGTCCACTGGAATTGCAGTGATACAATTATTGTCACTCCTGATGACTGGAACCAGGTGAGAAACAGCAGTACCAGTGTAGGGATCATTAGCAATTGCTAAAGTCTTGTTAGGTTTCAGAACTTTGACCAATGCATAAAACAGTGGCTTCCTACATTTACATGAGTTAGCACAAAATGAAGGGTTGGGGCAATGTAAATATATTTTGGAATAGAACAAAATCTGTCCAAATGAAGGTGGTGAATCCCCACTGTTGCCTTTAAATTCTATTGTAAAGTTGTTTCTCCTTGTCATGCTTTTGTATAACTTGGAGTGAATCAGTTGCTCTCAATGAGTAATCTGAAAAACTGATACACTTCTTGAACTGGCCCAATTAGGGATTCGACTACAGCTCGCTCAACAGCAGTAAAGACATAATTTTGTAAGTTGCCCACGATGCTGCAGTTGCTGTTGCCTGGAAGTTTTTCCTTTTTGGAAGCAAGGGGACGCTTTCTTTAAAGGTGTTCATAAAGTTCTTGAGCCATAGATCCACTTTCGAGGAGAGGAACCAACTCAGGTATTCTCTGTTGCACACTGACAGCTGTCACAATCTGTTCTTCCACACTTTGTGTACCATGAAATAAGCTTCTTAATTCCCCATTGAAGTCTTCAAAGCAAAAACAAGAGTGAGTCCACAGTGGACCAAGATCTCTCACTCTTTCTGTCATGTGAAGTAAACAGTGCACATTAAAAGTTTCATAGCGGGCTGCATAAAGTTCCTTTATCCTGATACAGAAATGCTTTATTAAAGCAGAGGCCTTTACAATGTCATTCGGAGAGATAGAATCCTGGAGAAGAAGGTAAATGGCTTCCAAAGGTGAAGGTAGTGCTGAAAGTACTCTTCTGGAAGAATACCATACAGACATGGAACAGAGTAGAACAACAGGAAAGTCCTTAACTCAGATGCTTTGAGATGCCCAAAGTTTGCTATCAGGCTTCTGGGAAGGCGCGTGATGCAAGAAGGAGGACTAATCTTTAGGTACCTCTCTTCAATTTCTTTCATTCTTTTACAGACAGACCATGGCTCTGCTTTATATGTCTTGTCACTCCAAAGGGTAAGCAACATCTTAACCACGCCAAGTAATGTACTGTGCATATAGTCAATGGCTATTCCTCTAATGATGTCAAACTTTGGAATAAACATAAACCATGAATAGCCTTTAACCCCTTTAACACTACTTGGGATGCCCTTTTGAGCACTTTCCTTGGTAGCTTCAGCTGCAAACTTTAATGTCTGTTCATGTGTTCTTGGTTCCCCATGACCAGTTCTGAGATTTGCTTCATCAAATGGGTAAGCATGAGTGTGCCCTTTGCTACTTGTCTGCACAGTTTTGCCAGGGCTCAGGCAGTATGGGCAACCATAAAAGGCATTGAATTGACAAAACTCTTGGAAAAGGCACTTTGCTGGGGCATCAAATGTCCCTAAGAGTAAAATACAGCGAAGCAACATGTTCTTGCCATTCAGCTTTACATCAATCCCTATAAAAAAGGAGCAAAAAAATCCTGACTATTCAGATGTTGACCCATAGGGTAGAAATGAGGGCAGCAGAATTTCTATAGACTTCAAAGTTAATTGATAACAGATAACACATCAAAGCATTTTGAAATTCATACATACATGTAGCTGCTAAATAATGATTGAAAATAATTTTCAATAATTTAAAAGCACACATTTGTATCTACATGTATTATGCCAAATCTCCTTTAGTCAGAGTTGTAAGTTAAACCTGTGTATAACGGTCACCCTTGGGAAATGGCCAAGTGGCCGTTATATACAGGTTCTCTTTAAACTCTACTGGAAGTTAATGAATAGCATCTAAGTCTAAAGGGTGACTGCATCCGTTCGACACTAACAGGTGACCACTATATACAGGTCACCTTTACAGAAAATATAAAGCAAAGTTTTAGGGAAGTTGTCCGGTGAGTCACTCTATAGTGACTCAATTTCCTTTTGTCCCCTTTTGTAAATTATATATAGTTCGGGAGTAATAATTATGTCAAACAGCAACAGTTGTACAATGTATTTATTATGAACATTCTGAACTAATAGTATACTAGAGAGTAGCTGTGACTACAGTGTGCATATATGTACATTAGAATGTAGCAGATAAATGCATGCTTTAAGGTAATACAAAAAATGGGGACTGATTTTAAAAACATAAACCTTACCTTTGAAGAATAAATCATTTAGTGAGTTTGCGAATGGCTGCATAAATGTTTGGAAATGTGGCTTGAGACACCGAACCAAAGCCCAGCAAACATGCGGTACTTTCTCTGCTGCCTGTAGGGACAGAAAATAAAGGGAAAGAATGAAGTTTTTTAACAAAAAAAAAAAATGAATATGTTTTTTTAATGAGAAAAAAAGCAAAAGCGGTCCATTTCAAGATAGGTCAGTTACCAAGCAAAGAATGAGTTACAAACAATTCTTACTAGTTAGCAATTCTGCAAATTATCAGTGCTCATTATGATGTGTTGCAGTTAGATTAAGTGATACTCTTCTCTCACAATTTCTTTTCTCTTATTGGTTATTAACTGTGGAATTTTCTCTTTGGTAGTGGCATCATGAAGGCAAGTAGATGCTTAAACTGTGTACTTCAGTTCCACAATTAATTTATTTACATGACTATACTTTACAACCATTGTTATTTTGGTTACTTTGGTTTGACATTCTTTAATCAATACTTCAAAAAAAAAAAGAGAAATTATATATTATTTAGCAATACTATAGAAATGAAATACTCGGCTGGGGGAGGAGGTTTGAAGCTGTTTAAAACGCTTACAGCACATGTTTAATCAAGGGTAAAAATTCAAGCTTTTATTACATACCTGCAATTTGGAGGCAATTCGTTGACAATAAAATAAACCGCCATATGGAAAATTTTGAAGACCTAAAAATTGCAACTCCATCCGTGTTTATTTGCAGGGACAAATGGATCTGTGTCTTTTTGTCCTGTGTGGATGAACCCCTAAAAATCCGTCCTCCCCAAAGTGCTTCTTATACAGTTGTCCATCAAAGATATCTTCAATGGCATCTGAGTTTTGTTTTGTCTTGTGACACGATACTGCAGAAAATCAGGTACTTCTGGCCCTAAGAAACAAAACAAATATTTGAAAACAATACATAAGAGTGAGAAAATAAATTTCACACAGAGGTTCTGTTTGACTGAGGCAAATGATAATATTTCCTGAATACATGTACATGTAACAAGACTGCAAAAATCTTTTTCATTTAAATCTTGGAATTTTTCCTATTATTGATCACGAACTGCTAATGTTAACTGTCAATGCATTAACAAGTGATAACAACCAGTTACATATGTAACATTGTTTCAGTTTGATGAATGGTTAAAATACATGTATTGAGTGAATGCTTTAAGGCCTCTACAGACTAGATATTTAGTTGTCAAAAACGTTTTTTTTTTTTGCGACAATGACAATGTTTAAGTTGTCAACAACAGCAAAATTTAGCATTTAGTTGTCAACAACCCGTCTTACACACTGCGTTTTTTTGTTGTTGATAACATTTAGTTGTCGAAAACAAAACGTTGTCGACAACTAAATTTCTAGTCAGTGGAGGCCCTTACAGTCACTTCATTCCATCAAAAGAGCCTGGGAAAACATGAAGTACAAAGAAAAGAAAAAGTGCACGATTCTTACACCGAGGTAAACCCAAAAGAACGAGAAATCCTTTGATGTGGGGCATTATTTAGTGACAGGGGATACTTAACATGGTAGTGGATAAAGATAATGAGAAATTCTTTGTTATTTAGTATCATTTAGTAACAGGTGGGACATCTACTTAGAACGAACTGACTTGGAAGGAAGTGACCTGATACCAAAGGAATGATCTATACCTTAGCAGATAATCTACTTACTTGACAGCAATGACTGAAGCTGTGTGACTAAGGGTAGGACAATGAAGTAGGCCAGTGCACCTTTTTTGGAAAAATCTACCAGACAATACTTGTTAGAACAGCAGGAGGTCTTTGTAAGCCCAATGTACTCAAAACAGCAACAACAATAATAGTGGTACTCGATAGGCTTTTAAGCTTTCGAAAGAATCGGTTGAGAACAGCTGTCGATTTAGCAAAGCAGTTGGGTACAACAAGATGAATGTTAATTAACGTCAAAAGGTCAGCCAAAGCCAGTCCGCTCAAATTATGCCTTATGGCGAAGCTAATAATCAGCAGCAAGCTAACTGAAAAAGTAACGGGGGACCCCTCGTATAAAGGGGTGTCTTGTGATAAGGATAGCTCAGTAATTTTCACGTAGTCATCTTGAGTGCTGCTTTCATTCCTATCTTCCGCTTCCGAAAGTTCATCCACGTCATTATCTTGCTCGTTCAAATCCTCATGAAACTCGCTAGATCCGTACGTTGTATCAAGCGCTGGATCTTCAGGAAAAACTTGCGAAATTTCATCACAGCTGTCTTGCTCAACTGCCGTGTTGTTCAGGAGCCCCTTTAACATTTCATCAGCGATGGAGTCTCTAGTTGGGCGGCCTTCTCTGTCATTTTCTACCTCAGCTGGCCGACCATCTTCTTTCAACAAATCAACATTATTACGGTCTTCCAGAGAGTATTCTTCGATCCCCTGAGATGCATATGAGTAGTCCAGGAACTCTGACTCAAAATGTTCAACAGTGTCGCTACAAGATACCGCATTCGTTTCTCTATCATAAGTTTTAGCTAGTTTCTGGCGATACTCTGACGTTCTGGGAACTTTCAACGACGGATGTGACAGATAAGACAGGTAAGTACCTCTTCTTTTTTCACAACTTCTAGAGTTACGTGTTTCTTTTGCATTTCCAGTCGCCATGTTGTGTTCGTATAAAAGCCGATCGACCCAGGCAGATATTACGCATGCTCAATACGTCGGCGTCTGTTTGTTTTCCTTTTGGCGGGATTTTTTGCGGCACGTTTGTCGGTGTATGTGTTAGATCTTGGCGCGAAACTTCAGTAGCTGTGAAACGTGAATTAATTTGCTTGGTTCATCAGACTCTTTTTCGACTGAACGTTTATTGTCGCTTCCCCTTTTTCGGGCAATCCAGTATCCAGGAAAATGGTGAGTACATTAAACTGTATAAAAAAACCTGAAAAACCCTAATCAGGTCACGTTTTAGTTCGTTTTTTAATAGCAATTATGGTGATAGGTAAGCTCAACGGTTCTACTTAAATCGGTGAGAAAAAATGGTAAAAGTTTACCTTCTTCATTCAGGTCGAATGCAGCGTTCAAGCCAGGGAATTGTTCTCTTAGACCTTCTTTGATACATTCGCAGCGTAAAATTCATTTTATCTTTGTGTCTGCGAACTGGAACTGATACAACTCGATCGGGCTCAGCTAGTGCATTTCAAATAAGAACGCGACAATAAATGCTCATCCTCGGTGTAAAAACCTGTAAAGTTTTTCTTTGTTTTCTAGCTATTGTTTTCCTTGGCTCTATTGTGTTGACTTCTCAGTGGCTCCTTTGTATTCATTGTTTTACGTCACTCGTGAGTTTCACAGGTTTTTACACCGAGGTAAACCCCAATAAATACTTAAGCTTATAAGCTTCCAGTGTAAAAGACTTGAGAAATTATTAATTTTCAGTAGTCATTTTAATTCTAAAAGAGCGTCCTGTAGTTAAGGATATTTAAAGGGAAAAATACTAACAGAGGACGAACTGAAACGTTTTAGACTTTTTACTGGCTTTCTCGCAGTCGACCGGCTTGTCACAAGTCGATCACGACCCGATATGACTTTCACAGCATCGGGAGTAGAAGCGTGATCATTTGAATCTTGACATCCATGGTTCCTGTCGTTTTCTTTTAACCTCAGTGATTTATAATTTCTGCAAATATGTTCTTCCACGTTCATGACTCGCATTTCAATTTTGTCATTGATTTCAGTCTTTTTATGAAAAGGCTTTGATATATTCACCACTGGTCACCAACAGAAACTATAAAGTAACGCCTGATTGAACAACCGCTCATGTGTTTCTGTCACCGATTAATAACTAACTTTCTTTAGTATAACTAACTCACAACTTTTTTACTACTTGTTAATCGTTCTCGGCGAGGGCAAAATTGATATTGCGAACGTTAACCAAAATATATACCCTTATATATCCCTGACGATTGCGTCGAAGTAGTACAGTTCCTTGAAATAATGACTTTGGTGAGTGTTCTAAAATTTTTGTGCCCCCTTTAAAACATGTTTGAAATTAACAAGCATCAACGCTGTATTACCTTGACTGCCGGCATGGGTAACAGGGACTGTGAACGGAGACCGGGCCGCCATTTCTTGTATTTCTTGGATCAAAAGTAACTAACCGGGAAGGTAGTTTCCCATACATGTGCACATATTCCTGTGAGCTTCAGGCTCAGGTTTTTGTTATTCATGATTCCAAACAAAAACATGGGACCCACGACTGGTGTCTCAGATTACCAAAACTATTAAATGTGTGTGCTTTTCTCTGACATCGAAAGAGCAAATTTGTTTACATTGTGCTAGAATACTTTCATAACTTTTTTTAACTACCCCTTGTAGGTGAAACCAAATGGCTTTGCAGTAGTTGAATGGAATCGACCAAATGGAAGAAGTGAATTGGAAGCGATTATTGTGAAGAAGTTAGCTGTCAAGGAAAGTGTAAGAGCTGGGGCCATTGCTGAAATGCAATATGATGGAGAAATTTGGAGGGGAAAAATTCTCTCTCTCCATGGTAAGACTAATAGTTCAAGTGATTTAAGCTGTCATGAGCATGTACTTGTGCATCTGTCAGAACTCTGGACCACATAAGAAAAAAAACTTACTGATAATGATAATAAATATACATTTACAGTTGTAAAGTGATGACTGTTATTTTGCCTCTGCATGAATGACTGCTAAGAGGGGTAAAGAAATCGTTCTTTCTCACACAAAACAAGAGTCCTAACCCTTTTTTTATTAACTGGCCTTTTTCAGACAGTATGAGTGATGCTAGAAGTGTTTTAGACAAGGAGCTTGGAAATTCTGGAACAGAAGAAAACAGTTCAAACTGTGAACAGAATTCATCCCCCAGTAAGAAGCAGAGAAAGAGAACAAAGAATAAACGACTTGATGGATATGAAACCAGTCAAGGTACAGTAAGCTGTTATTTGACACTAACAGCATATAATGGTTTAAAGTCACCGCGAAAAGGGAACTACATGTAAGTGTTATAAAAACTAGTCACTGAGGACATTATTGAAGGTGGTTGCTCCTTGTTCCCTTAAATTTCAATTTACAGAGGTAGATAATAAAATAATAATTATCAAAGTTCTAAAAACATTTAACCTGTATAACCGCCCTGTATATAGCGGTCACCCTGTGTATTACGGTCACCGGACAGGTTCCCAAATATTAATTTAGCCGTATATTGTCTGTGTAGTGGACCTGTATAATGGTTACCTGGCCATTTCCCAAGGGTGACTGTCATAAACAGGCTTGGCTGTATTTTGTTACAGCTACTACAAATTCATTGTTTTTGGGAGACTCAATTATTCAGACCTTTTTCTTATACATTATTATTTTATCCTGTTATTTCTTAAAGATGATGAACCTTCCAAAAAAAAAAGACCTCTGAGGGCAGAAAGAAAGCTGGAGGAAGCAAAGAAAATGACAGTGAAAGTCAAAATAGGAAGAAAAATGCCCGAAAAGATCATGATGATGCAGCAGAAAAGGAGCGAAAGCGAATTGAAAAGGAGCAGGCAAATAAGCAAAGAGAAAAGGAACGGCAGGCCCTTACTGAGCGAAATAACATGTTGCTAGAAAGGATGACTGCTTTGGTGAGTAATCAAAGTGCAGAAGATCCCTTTGATTCCGATGTTGTCTCAGAGTGTGTGGATCTCACAACTTCATCAACACCACCATCAAATCCTGTTCATCGTCTTCAGAACACAGTAAATGAGTTACGGAGTGCCACACCAGAAAAGAGTGTTGTCAATCTCACAGCTTCAAAAGACACTGGACATGCTGCAGGGCAATTCAGAGGACCCACCAACCACACCATCTATTTGTCAGACAGCAATTCCATCACTGCAGAGAACCTCTCTGACCACACTGCAGGATGTGGGGAAGAACCAGTATCCACAACACCAGTTCAGCAGATGCCAAATTCCACCACACCAGTGTCAAGATCTCCTCTGACAACTCTGCGTGGCAGATTAACAGAAGTGCCACTGTCAATACCAAATCAACAGAAAGAAGCCACCATTTCAGGAGCACAAAGAACCCCACTGACAAACACACCCAGAAATTTTCCAAACAGAAGACAAGACTTAGTAGCCAGACCAACTGTGGGTGGTAAATGCCCCAGACGAGTTCTACCACAGCCGCTCTCAAGTTCAGATGAAGAAGAGTATTGTCCATCATGCGTAACACGCAAAAAGAGAGTGAGGGAACTTGAAGATCAATTAAAGAGCTTGCAAGGTCAAGGTATGTATGAGGAAGTTTATGTGATAATCCCTGAAAATTAAAGAATGAGAGTTAAAAGAAAACAAGCAGTCTTGTTGTGAATAAAAGAAATAAGGGGTATTAGAAAAAGGGATGCACATAATCCAGTTAGTCTGCTTGGGGGCACCCTGTTTTGGTGGTGGATCGATCGATCCACTGTCTGGTCTTTGTCCACTAATTACAGTAAACACCTGCATATAAGAACCTACTTTTTGAAGTCTGGCAAAATAGGTTCATGTATTTTTTAAGGGTACGTATTGCCAATTTAGGCTAAGTAGGTTCTTAATTTTTATGAAGGAGATAATTGATCATTGAGTACCAGAAAAATAAATGAACTCGGTTAAATATGCAGTATTTATTCGTAACTATTATAACCTAACAAAACTATATAATTACATGCAAGGTGAACTTTCGATCTTGTTAATAACTATAGTCATTCCTATCATTATTTTTAAGTTTCTGATCCTCCAAGACCTGGAAAGATCAGTCCCATTCTAGCAGAACGCTTTAAGGTAAGCACTTCATTCACCATTTTAATCACAGAATGTGCATGCTATTGTAGACAAATCAGTGTAAAGTTTTTGTGCAAATCATGTAGTCGTCAATGGCTAATTTGATGTTTGCAAGAGGTTCGACCCTACTAGACCTAGTCAGGCTTACAGTTTAACCCATTTGCTCCCAGATAATATGCAGCAGAAAACCACTCTTTCGAGCCATTTAAGACCTTTTCTGGTTCTTACCAGGCTGAAAAGGATCTACAATGTAGATGTGAACTACCCGAAAGACATACTAACAATTCAAGTACAATGCTGATAGTTTCTGATGCTAAATTTTAGCATTGAAGTTCAGGCATCAGGTAAAAAGTTCACTGCCTCCACGACTGTTTTTTTTTCACTTTCCCTCGTCCTCACCTCTTGCTTTCCTTGCCCTTTTTTTTTTTTTTTTTTTGTGGGGCATTTCCTTGGGCTAGTCCCTGCAAGCCACAACTTGCCCAAAGGGTAAACTGTAAGCTGACTTTCTTTACACGCCCTTGTTATGTGTCAAAGTTGTCAATGTCTTTTGAGCATTTGAAATGTGACATGCGGCAGAACATGTGGAATTATTATACAGGCTGTTCAGGTGTGTATGTCTATATAAAATTGCTATCATAAAAATAACATGGCTGTTTTTTCTTCTTAATTCCAACAGATGGTAGAGTTGACTCCTGGTTCTCAAGTTTTTGTGTACCAGAACCATATTCACCAAGCAATGGCCAGAGCGTCGTATAAGTCAGCGGCATCGTTTTTGTTAAACTGTTTTTACACAAACGACGAGCTGGTGGGGATGAACCTGACTGGAGCAAATGGAAAGAAATGCCCAGACAAGGA